TAAAAACCTCGCGATTGCTGAGCAAGAAAACGACACATTCATATTCCAATGCCGAGGTTAAGAGAAAGTCGATCCTGGGATCTAGTAAATTTTGAAACTTTCTGCTTAAGGTTACTTTAGCATTCGACCTAATAGAATCACAAATCAAAATTGACCCACCCACTATTCTCTTCCAAAGGGATTCCTCCAAATACTGGACACAATAAGATTCCTTCGACTTGCATTTCTTCAATTGCGCGTACATGGTGTTCTGCTTGTATCGAAGAGAGGCACGTAGTAGTCGCGTTTCGATGTCCAGTACTAGTTGGCTGTCCCTTGGTAGGCCGCACACATCGTGTAGTCGTTTTCGTTTGATGAAGTTCGGCACGACTCGGTGTTTCAGGCAGCGGCGGAGGAAGAGTATCGTTTGTCTAGCTAAGACAATTTTTTGTCTTAGTGACAGGACTTCTTTTACAAGTCGGAAATATTCTGCTGGCACTCCACGTAGTAATTCCCAAAAGTAAAAAAAAAAGTAAAAGTAAAAAAAAAAGTTGTCGGCATGGAAATAATGAAATAGCACAACCTAGGCGGCATTAAACAAACTCTCATAATTAAGAGACAGTACTTCTTTGACTTAAAATTTTGCCCTAAATGTTGCTGTTATTCCATCATAAACTTTGGTTTGCACCTCCAACACTAGCGAATACCTTCTTGAGAGGAGAACAGTGAAACTAGGTCGTGAAGAAGGATTCGTCTGCGAATGTTCTGAAAAGGCTAGTAGCACCGGTTGGAGAAGACCATTGGAAAAATAATTACGGCGAATTAGTTGAAAAACTGTTGGGACCATCTCAAAGAATGACCATTGTACGTCATGACCAACAAATTCGTGGTTACTGCCCATCATGGTATAGAGTCGACAGAGAGTGAAGGACTTTTATTCCAACATTTTTCGTTCCATATAACAGGTACCTTATTCCTGTTGCTACAGTGCCACGAAAATGCAACTCTTTTATCGACTATTTGTAAGCTTACTAGAAAAACAAATCCGCCAGGAGCATGACGTCTTGGAGAGGCTGGTTAATGCCTTTCTTGAAATACATAATGAAGTGGCTCGATAAAATTCTTGCAAAGATCCAGTCGTGTTTTCGAAAGTAATCGAAGAACAGAGGGCCATGCTGAGGTTTGCATGAAAGAGCTCTTCTAAGCGTATAAAGGAAAAAAAGCATGAAGTACTCGGCGTTGATCAATTCCTAAGGGATGCGTCATGCAGTCGATTTCATTAAGCATCGTTGGAGATAACTGAATGCATAACTAGCCTTTACACTGACTTGCGGCAGTCTACTGATGTATTGAGCCAGTGCTGCTATCCTGCGAGATAGGTCTGGTACCAATTTGCCCCACTTGGAGTGATGGATGGCTTACTAAGCCTTTGCAGCGTATAAGTGGTATAATTCGGTATATCGTTACATATCTGCATTGCTTCTCGTATTACAATATTTCTACTGGAATGTAGAATAAATTCCTCAATTAATATAGAGAAGAGAGCATACCCACCACCTTTCTTTTCTCAATTTTTCAAATTACTCTTTTGAGGTAGCTGAATGGTGTCATTGTTTTCACTCATAAAGATTTGTTTGGAGTATACCGCTTTTCTTTTTTTAGTTCATTCTTCTTTCTTTCATTTCTTCCATAAAACGTTTTATAGCTATTACTCTCCTTAGACTCCACTCAACCGTGCAAGATCTGGTGTCATTTGATCGACTCGGAACTGATCCGCAACAAGGGCTTGTTCCCAGATGGTACTCCATGTGGTCCCGATCAATACTGCATAGGTGGAATGTGTCTTGTGAGTGTTGTAAATGTTTTAAAGCTCTCTGAACTCTCCACATATCATTCTTCAGCCACTTGGATGCGGGAATGAAGCAGTTGTGGCTAGTGAGAGTGACTGTCCGAATCGGAACCCAACTCATGGGTGGAGTGACTGGTTAGAGTTCTTTTTGTGATGTTACCAACTTTTACAATAAAGCTTATTATCAAGCTAATTAATTAGTTAGCTAAATATTTGTTGTCACCCAACGGTTTATCGCCTCATCGTGGCTAGGAGATGTTCCTGGATGTCGGGCTGAGATATATAGCGGTGAGATTCGTCCCCCACCAGGGTCTCCCAAGCTGAAAAGGAGTTTCGCGTTTCTATCAGGAGGTCTAGCTAAGAGTAAACCAATACCAGGATCTACCACCGTCCTGGTATGAAACTAGTCGCACGGTGGCAAATCTCCCTGTGATCCACAAAGGCTGGCGACTGCCTGTGATGGTGAAAACCTAGAGCAGACTTTGGCCAGGCTGACCTCGAGACTCCAAAGAACCACAATGGCTAGACCAGCAAAACTCCGAAAGAACGGAAATTATGCTGCGGCCTGCACAACCAGTAAAGACGGGCCATCCAAGTAATAATTCTAGCTGCATACTGTTGTTCCCCCTCCCCATTGCTTGTCATGAAAACTGTTGAAGAGTACTGTACTCGAGAGAACTATTGTAATGAAAAAGCAACTGAAAAGAATAAAAACGTATGACAGGCCTAATTTCACAAGGTTTTTTGAGATTCTGTCGCATTGTAGTTACTTTCTAGTTGCTGTAAAAGTAGGATATGGTTTAAAAGATAACCACAATGAGGCTGAAGGATTTGCAAAACCCGGGCTCCTGGTGTCTGCGGTGGGGATAGAATACGCTATTACCCTTTCCAGTGGTTAACGCATTGACCACCACAGGATGCGAGTCCTTCGTTTCGCCTTTCTCTCACCTGTTTTCAGCATATAGGTCCTATCAGCAATCACCCATCGCATGTTAATGTTTTCAGGACCGCTTGGTCCGAATGTTCTGCCACGTGCGGAACGCATGGTCGACAAGTACGGACACGAAATTGTATCAGTTCACCAAATTCGATGGAATGTAGTGGTAATTACACGATGGATTACTTTATAAGCGAATCGTTTCCTCAGTATTTGAATGACTTTGAAATAACGAATTTTCTTTCGGAAAATTCCTTGACTTTATCTGAGACGAGCACAATTAGTGGAAAAGATCGTTCTAAACATGTTCTTACGTTTTTCAGTAACAAAACAAGAAACTAGTTTACCGGTCAACTGAACACCGTTGTCGTTTTCGATTTTCGTTGCAATTTCAATCTTTTGTTTCACAATGCTGTCGTAAACGTTCTAAAATTGTTTTAGGTGAAGTAAAAGAACAACGGCCATGTTTGCCTCGTTTACCTATGTGTCAGTTGCTCAGCGAATGGGGTGAATGGGGTCCATGTGAAAGCGAATGTGGACAAGGAGAACAGAAGCGAAAGCGATTGTGCTTATCCAATGATTGCGATGAAGAGACAGAGGAACGGCGGCCGTGTTGGAATCCTGGAAAGGTTTTCTGTTTCATCGTATTATTCTGGTTGCTTAGGATATTACCTATACATGTTAAATGAATGTAAGAACAATCGTAGAGCGATTTTTCAACGCAGTTTTTTGCCCATGCCTACATCTCGTAGTACTGTTATGTAACTCAGTGTTATCACGCCGTGTCCTCACACATTCTCTGACTTCCATAGTCAAACACTCATATGCATTCTGTACGAGGTGTACGATCATAAATAAACAAGATCTCTTCATTTTGACACGGATGGAACGTTTATGAGAATCTACTTTGACATAGTTTTATAGAATTCAGCACGTCTGCGACATTGCACTGGGACGAGGCTTTATACAGTATGAAGCATTCAATTTAATAAGCTAACAATTTCAGATGGCATGCTGGTTAGAATGGACAGAATGGAGCCAATGTTCTCAGACATGTGATGGTGGGCATCGGAAAAGAGAACGACTTTGCCCGTTGTTCGATGAATGCAGTGGTGCCGCCTTCGAAGTTGAACAGTGCAACACTGAGGTGGGATTTTATGATTCGATATCATTTAGACAACTTTTATTTGTTTCAAAACAGACCTTTCTTTAACCTCAGTATGACCAATCAAAGGGCGCGTCTAGCGCATTGGTCGGAGGCGCCCTGCAGTACACTTGGAATCGACCTCCGTGCTCCAGGTACGCGAAGCCTCCTGTCCCTCCGGTGTCGGCAAATTGGTACCAGACCAGCCTGGTAGGTTAGTAGCACCGACTCGATACATCAGTATGCCATCGCGAGTCAGTGTATTGGCCAGATATGCATTCAATAACCTTCAACGATGCTCAATGAAGTCGAATGCATAGCGCATCCTTCAGGGATTGATCAACGCCGAGAGCTCTATCCATTAACCTTGGTATGACCACTCAAAGCGTAATTTTCCTTCGATAGGTTTGGAAGAGGTTGATAAACTATTTTTATTCGGCTAACGTTCCGACGTCTTCATCTTCATCGGAGCCGACAATCTGAGTCGATGATGGTGACCAAAGACGAAGACGTTGAAACGTTAGCCGGATAAAAAATGTTTATCAAGCTCTTGTAAACATTTATTTACTCTCATTTTTCATCGTGTGCAATATGACGATTCACATAACATGTCTGAGTAGTCATGAAAGACACTAAATAGGTTAATAACTTAAGAAACTATCGGTAGAGCTAAAGTGATTCTTGCAATAGTTCATTCATTTTTATGAAATTCATTTTATTCATTCATTCATCCCGATTTTATTATTTACTCATGGGTATTTGGTAGTAAAAAATGTTTCAATAGTAGAAGAACATGAGTCTTTTAAAGATAGACTATTGCCTAAAGCGCTATTTAGACTTTTTGGAATAAATTCTAGCTTATCTGATTGGCTTTGGCTGGAGGCTGTCGAGATTGCCATCATAAACAAGTCACCTGTATCACCTGTAGTCCCGTTGATCGTCGAGTGACTCGAGCGGGCGCCAGTAAATCTTCCACTTTTCCCTTTCGCGTGCAAGAGTAGCCAGTGGGTTCTGCTCGCTCTAGGTGCTCGTCGAGCATCACATCTTTCTTCAAGGCTCTTTGTGAAGAACTCTGGCCATCGGGTCGGTGCTCTTCCTGAAGTACGTTTGACACCCCGAGGAATCCAGTCACTAACGGCTTTTGTCCATTGGTTGTCATTCATACGCTTTACGTGTCCGGCCCACCTTGTCTTCAACTGTTTGGCGTACAGAACGGCATCTTTGGTTTACGATCGGTGACGCAGATCGGAGCTTCGGATCCCATCCCTTACTTGTGTGGAACGGGATACTCCTAACATCGTCGTTTCGACTGTGCGTTCGATAACGCTGAGTGACCTTTCATCCTGCTTACGCAGCGACCAGGTTTCTAACGCATACATTAGGGCAGGAAGTACCGTTGAGTCGAAAAGGTGGGCACGGAGTCGGGTGTTCTTTGTTCTCTTCACTGCATCCTCGATGCTCTTGAAATCTCCCCAAGCCGCTCGTTTTCTTCTGTTCAGCTCTGGAGCTAAGTCGTTCATCGTATTGATTTCCCGACCTAGATAGACATAACTGGAGCATTCGGAGATATTTGTTCCGTTGAACGTGAATGGGGCATGTGAAACCAATCCGTTCTTCATGAACATCGCTTTTGTGAGATTTAGTCTAAGACCAATCTTTCCACAGGTTTTATCAAAGTCGTACGTTCCGCTTGGAATGATGAACAAGTAGAATACAAAATCTGTGCTCTAAATAATACTCCCACTGTAAAAGAAGAAGTCCTTTATGACTTGATACATTTGAGATAAAGGATATTCTGACATGAAACATAAGGTTGGTAGCAAAAATCACCCATTCTGTTTTTGATGTCAACAATTTTGGTACTGTTTCTTTTGTTACCATGTGTTTTGAGGGGTTCGTGCGGCGCAGTACTCGGAGACGCCTTGCAACGCACACGTGGATTCGATCTCCGCGCCCATGGCCCACCAAGCCTTCCATCCCTCCGGGCTCGGCAAATTGGTACCAAACCTGTCTGGGCGGATAGCTGCATTAGCTCGGTACATCGGTAGGCCACCGCGAGTCGTTGTAGAGGCTAGATATGCACTCAATCACCTCTAACAATACTTCATCAAGTCGAGTTCATGACGCACCCCCAGGGATTGATCAACGCTGAGAGCTTTTTTAGCTTTATGTGTTTAGTAGGTTGCTTTCAATTTACGAAAATGGGTATCTTACCAGTCTTCGTGCTGCTTCTGCGTGATTATGCATGTTATCAGTATTTTTTAACTCGATTTTCAGCGCTGTTCATCTGGAACATGGGGTGATTGGCTGCCATGCTCTGTTTCATGCGGCATTGGGTTTCAAATTCGTGAGCGACTATGCGATGGAATACTTTGCCCTACAGCGAATAAGCAAGCAAGAACATGTAATGAACAGGTTCGATTTAGAGACCGCTACGTTTTTGTCATGAGACAAATACTACAAGAACTGGTGATAACAACGATTCATCTTTTAGCCATGTCCATCCAAAAGTTTAAATGATTACGAATGGAAAGAATGGAATGAATGGAGTGAATGTAGTCAAACGTGTGGTGATGGACTACAATACAAAGAAAGGTTATGCAAAAGAGGTTTGATAGGTTTCCGGATTTCACGTAGGTCGGCTACGACGTAACGATATGAGATTCACTTAGTGCTTACATTATTAGTTATATTTCCACTACTCTGTTGTTATTAAAGGTCACTGTCCACCATCGGAGTTCATAGAACGACGTCGTTGCATCAATTCACCATGTCCGATGTGGGATGATTGGAACGAGTGGTCAGAATGTCCGTCGTGTTCCCGTCTTCATAGTCGAACGAGAACCCGAACATGTCTTTCAAATTCTAAGGAAGAAAATGCTACTTGTGATGGTATTTTTACAAGTACAATCGGTCCTACTGTTTGCCTCTTGTTGAATTTTGTCCTACTATTTTTTTAAAGAGACCAGATAAGATAGGAAAAATGTGATATAGAAAGCTTTTGCATGACCATCAAACTCAAAATAGATATAATTGACTCTTTCGAGGACCGTTACGGATGGAAGAGCCATGCGATCAACATTGTAGCGCCAATGGAAGCGATAATAATCGGCCGGATATTGAGCTTGTGACTGCTAAAGGAAGGCGACGGGTACGTTCTCATCCGTATGGTTGAGTCATGGTTTTCCATAAATTCGACTAACTCGGGATTACAAATTCCAGCAGCAGAAATGTCGACAAAAAAACTAGTGAACAGTCTCATATGCAAGTCCAATAACGTCAGCTAGCTCTTGACTGAGAGTGGTAAAGAGTAAAACTGGCTAGCATAATGGTTGCTTTCGAGCTTCCTTGATTAATAAGCTTTTCGTTTTAGTTTCCTAAAACGGTTTGATTGGGATTACGATTTTTATTTTTTCCAAAAAGTTCAAAAATAGTGGGGTATGTTATCGTTTTTGTCGTTTTTGTAGTTTTGCACCATTTTCCTTGTTATTGCCTTTTTCTGCAAAACACATGAAATCAGTTCTCGTGCCACAGGCTCACCAAGCCCTCCAAGCCTCCAGGTTCGGCAAATTGTTACCTTTTTAAAGGTGGGATATGCATTCAATCATCTCCAACGCTGCTTATTGAAATCGAATGCACGGCGCATCTTTCTGGGATTCATCGACGCCGAGAGCTTTTCGGCCTTATTGCTTTTTTCTTGGTTCACTCTTGTATTTTCACATTTGTTTACTTCCGGTTTTGTTTGTAGTGATTACAGGTTATCGCACATGGAGGACGAATTGTTCCAGTCGTTGATGACAAATGGGGTGAATGGACAAAATGGACGGAATGTTCCCATACTTGCGGTGGTGGAACGAGAAGAAGGTGTATTATGACTTTTTTAAGATCTAATTATTTAACTGCTCCACCAATACATTTATGGGACACAATGTTAACTTTTATTTGCTGCCTACTACAATTTTTCTCGGCATGTGTGTTACAACTACAATGATGATGAGATGTTTGCAAAACTCGTATGTGTCTGCCGGGGAGAACGAACGCACAGTTACCTTTTCTGGGTGCCAAAGCATTCACCACTACACCATGCGAGCCCTTCGTTTCGTCTGTCTCTCAGCTAGTTTGACTCTTTTTCTCGTCTTTAAGTGAAGTGTAATCGGAAAAGAGCTGAGCTCATTCTGTTGAGAAAGAATTTGAACAGACTTGACGCTATCACTGGCATTTATCTGACCCTTGAACTATTGACTTTTAATATCTTGTTGTATTTTGTTCTTTTACTTAAACTTTTGGCGTTCTTTGCACAACTTCTCTATCCGACTGTGATTTTTTTCTTTCCAATTCTAAAAGAGCAGTGAAACAGAAACTATTCTTTCTATGGAATGCGTGATCATACGTTTTACAGTTTTAGGGCTCGCATATGTATCGGAAACAAGTGCCCATCTCAACCTCTCGAATCTGTCAAGGAGATCTGTAATCAAAATTCGTGTCCAAGTGGTGATTTCCTTAGTTGTTTTGTCTACTTGATTGTCTTAATGCGTCATCTTTATGAAGAATCGTACGAGATCCGTTACAATTTCTACACTCCTGGTAATTTGCTGGTTGAGAAAGACATTCTTTTTGTGGAGTCTTGTAAGAGATGTGCTAGGGTTCCCCAAGTTTTAACATCTGCAGTTATTGACCTTCTCCGTTCAGTGAGATATTTGCCACCCAGGGTCTGAGTTGTTACCAAGACAGTTGTTATTATTGGCCCTAATTTACTCTTAATTGGACTTTCTAGCAAAAATGTCAAGCTAATTCTCAGCTTGAGAGACCCAGGTTATTGAATGGACCTTCATCTGTACATTTCCATTCGCAACCGGAGAATACCCCCAGATACGATGTGACCGTAGGCTAAAACAGACGTAGTAGGCTATGCACATCGTTCACATATATCGAGACTGAACCGGGTCGTGCTTATCATAGAATTTTAGAACAGCACTGGTCTCCCTGGTCAATTTGGTCAGCATGTTCAGTCTCGTGCGGTGAAGGCGGTGTTCAGACTAGGCGACGTCGCTGTCAACAGGCCTTTGTTTTTCAGGTGAGTAAATTTCAGCACTCATCTTCTGATTTTTCTTGAACTACGTCAATGTTGCAATTTTTTGTTCCAGCTATTAAATCTCATTCAGAAATTCTTTTTGTCTGCCATTTATTGCAAATATTACACACTTTTTTCAGTGTGTTGGTCTATCGGCAGAATCTCGAGAATGTTCAGCGGACGTTAAGTGTATATCACAACAAGAAAAATATCATTTAACCAGTCAGCGTGTCTATGATCCTTTATTCATAGAAATTGCTAACAACACCATTACCAATGCAACATAAATTTCAATATATATTGGTTTTAGTACCATCATGGTCTGCGTGGTCTTCATGGTCTTCTTGCTCGTGTCTCAATCTAATGGAAAGCAGACGGCGATTTTGCTTGGTGACTGATCCGTCAGTACAGGGATTTTGCACTGGTTCTGTTCTTGAGCAACGCCCATGTGTTCCTACGGTGTGTGAAATTGGTTGCGAAAGAAAGCAGCAAATGTAAAAGAAAATAGGGTTTTTACTTGTATTTTGTAATAAGGCGGTTTATTAGTAAGTTAGAAATGTGTTGTTATTAATACAAAGAAGTAATGAGTAAGAGTCATCTACTTTCCTATATAAGTTGCTTTTGCTCTAAAGATGACGATTTTGAAGGTCACAATCATGCAAGGAATATCTGGGATAAAGTGTTATTAAAATAAAACTTATGTGGTAGTTCCAAATTTAACCAAATCTAGGAATCAGTTTTAGTCGTGTAGTGCTTCTCCTGGTGGCTGGTCGGACTGGTCTGAATGGTCGCAGTGCTCAAAGGACTGTCAAGGAACGGGGCATCAGATTCGCAATCGAATGTGCTCTGAACCACTTCCAGTCAATAGGTTCTATTATATATTTGTAACTTTTATGAATTTCAGTGCTTTAAATGACAGAAGTGGTGCATATCGGAATGACTAGGTAATTTTTCGTAGGTATGCTAAGTATTCGTGGGTGTTATTTCTACATTTATCAAACGTAGACTTGTGAAAACTTCAAAGAGACTTAGGGCTCTTAAAAAATGCGTGATACCTTAAAGAATGGGCGCATTTTAGTTCGTAATTACGGGTACCTCCAAACGGCTTACCGGCCCATCGTGGCTGGGAAGTGTTCCTGATTATCGGGCTGCGTTGTACAATGGTGGATTCATCCTTCAGCAAGACCTCCCAAGCTGAGAAGGAGACCAGCGTTTCCAACAGTAATCTTAGCTAAGAGTAAACGAAAACCAGAATCCACCACCTTCGTGGTACCAAACTACTCGCGTGGTAGCAGATCTCCCTCTGATTCACAAGGGCGGCAACTGCCTGGAGTGGTGATTACCCGGGGCAGACTTTGGCTAGGCTGACCTCAGGACTTCGGAGAACCACAGTAGCTAAACCAGAAAGTTTCTGAAAAAATGGAAATTATGCTGGGGTCCACACAACCAGTGAAAGCTGGCAATCCAAGTAACCTAGTAATTAATTACGGGCATCGATAAGGACCGTTGATGAGAGTATGTCGATGTTTTTTGAGTATAAGAATCCTTTTAATGTACTAACATAAGTCAGCAAATTTCAGAGGTATGTACTGTGTGGGTTACTCTTTTGATCAACGTCCGTGCACATCATCAACACCGTGTGGTGATCGAGTTGATGGTGACTGGAGTGATTGGAGTGAGTGGAGCAAGTGCGACGACACATGCACGAATGTTCAAAGAAGTCGTACAAGGTTAGCCATGCACATAATTTTCATTTGTTGTTTTTTTACATTTTTGTAGAGTTTAAACTGATAAAACACTACTTTAGCTTCGTTTCCATGTTTTTTAAATGTTAAACTTAGCATGCGCACGAACTGAAATGAGTTTCTGTTTGTTGTTGTTATTGTTATTATTTTTTCACACGACCTATCATTCATATCTACTTCTCAATTAAAAGATTCCCACGTCCAGCGTTGGGAGTGGGGATTGAGAGTTGCTATGATTGGTCTTGCTCGCCATGATAAAGTTTGAGAGCAGCTCACACTTTTCGTTCCATTCTAATCGGTGGGTACCGTTGTGATGTACTTCGGAGTTCTCTTGAGTCCAATCTTTGTGTTAAAATCATCAGTTATCACTTTAAAGAATGTGTCTCTTTCTTCGTAAAATATCTCCAAGTCCATATTGGAACGCTTCGACTTAGTCTTTGTCATAACTGGATGTCGGTGCATAGATGAAAAACATCGTAAAAGCCACTATTGATCTACTTCTTCTTAATCGCAAACGCCAGATTTGAGTTGTTAGCTGTTTGAATGAATCAGTGTATATGGTAGAACTCGTATTTACTAGAGCGCCAACGCTGCTCTTTTACTGTGGAATGTTCTGAGAAACAGTTCGTCTCCAGTGTCATAGACGGTGTTGAATGTGTGGCGTCTTCTCGTCTCAGCCAATTCGATGACGTCATACCTTATCCTTCCTGTTGGCGCGGTCAGGTCTTCAATCGGTGGATCAGATGCAGGTATATGTGTATTGTAAGTGCAGATAGCCACCCTAGTCCTCTGCTATATAATTAGCCTAGGATGGTCCTGTGATTTTAGCAATCTCTTCGTGCTCATCCTACCTAACGCTGCCGTATGTACGGTTTTTTCGTGATCAGGGGAATGATGCCCGTTTTGCCGAGCTGTTAACGTGGGGGTCGGTATACTCACGTATAGATTACCTCAACGGTGGCCGTGAACAATCTCGCGACATGGTATCGCCTTGCTTAACCCATCCTTTGACGACGATGTTAATATTGTCCTAGAATGGGTTATAAATGATTTGCGAAATTTTATACAGGTCACAGAAATTTTTTGTACACTAGGTGAGAACGTCCTGGCTGTCCAAGGCTTCCATGACTGCTTCCATCTCAGCTGAGACAAAATGTTTCCGGACCATAGGTGCCTGCGTTGGGGAGCGAACGCGCTATTACCCTTTCCAGGGACTACGCGTTCATCACCACACCATACGGGTCCTTTGTTTTCCCTTTCTCTAGCCAGTTGTGTACTTACCAGTACCATCAGCAATCACCCGTCAACGTGATTGATCTGTGGAGCCTAAATCGGCAATGAATCCAGCTAATGAATGAATCCCGTTGACGGGTGACTGCTGATGGCTCTGGTAGATAGAGAACTAGCTGAAGGCGAAACGAAGGACAGATATGGCATGATGGTGAGCGCGTTAACCGCCGGAAAAGGTAATATCGCGTTCGTTCTTTACCGCAGACACTTGCGTTCTGAAGTTTTCCAAATATCGCAGCATTATTGTGGCTGTATCACACATAATACCCTGCCGTGAAAAATTGTAATAGGCAGTAAATAAAAGACGTAACAAAAGCTCTCTTTGAATCGATAAAAGGGATACAGAGCGGTCTCTTATACTCTCGCGATACTTCATTGAGTCTTGTTATCGTGTGGATATAGTTTATCGTACTGCATCCTTTTCGAAACCCTGCTTGTTTACATGGCTATGTTTCGTCCTGTCTTCTGTCGGTACTTTTTAGGATGACTCGAATAAAAGGTTTAGATCTTGTAATAGCACGGTCTAGTTGCACTTCCATTATTTGGGAATCTTGCATTTTGATTTACGTTACGTGTGAGGAGCAGAGCCAATATGTCTATGAGAAATGCCGGAACGTTCTTCAAGCGTTCATTCTTATCCTTTCCGGACCTATTGCTGTTTGATTTTTAACAGACGAAATAGCGTTTAGGATTCCGGAGGTGAGAGCCACTGCTACGACATATCCATCCTCCTTTATTTCGTATGAGAGTAAGAGGACATGGCTATTGAAGAAGTTCGAGTAGTAATTGTGGATGCTTTTCTCCACTGCCTTTCGGGTAGCGGTAACTGTTCCGTCTGAGTGTCGGAGTACAATAGTCTTGTTTTTATAATCGGCAAAGCTTCGGTGAGCTTTGCGAATACTTTTCCTAACCTCTGCACTTTTATTTCATTTATGATTTGTTCTGCAGGTTCGGCCTTGAGTTCGCTGTTGCCTGCAGCTCGTGCGATTTCTAGCTGGCATATTAACTTGAGAGTTTTTGGAGCGAGCCATCTCTTGGTGACTTTCGAACTCTCAGCTTTCATAGCGCTAACTTGAAGATATTGAATAAGTCGATCGTATTCCTCCTCTATGTTATCGAGAACTTCATCTTCACAACAGCAGGTTAATGGATTGAATAAATCTCAGTTTGTAGTGTTTTTTTTTGACTTCCTCTTCTGAATTTAGCGCCTTTTTTTCTTTCTACGAAAAATGAACTCTTGCACCAATGACGCGGTGATCTGATCCTGTGCAAAATTGGAGAACAACAGCGGCCTCAATTAGGCAAACTTTTGATTTATTATGATGTGGTCCATTTTGACATGGTACTCTCCATTGGAAGACTTCTATTCACAGCGTTGAGAGCATCTCCAGTGATGACTTTAATCAATGCATGGTCTTTTCTGTGGAACTTCTCAAAGTCAGTATAGAACGCTTCGCCTTCATCTTCGTCATAGCTTGACGTCAATTCGCAAACTATGAAGATTGTCAAAGGTTGCATTGATGCACATCGCTTCAATCACTGGCGTCCGAATTGGGGCTGTTAGTTCTTCGAATGAATCGTTGTTCATGGCAAAACTCGTGTTTACGAAAACGCCGAGTCCGCCAACACCTCTGCAGTTGCATCTTCCGAGGAACAGTTTTTCTCCGGTTTCATAGACGGCGTTTAATTAGTGACGTACTTTTGTCTTAGCCAATGCGGTAACGTGGTATCTTATTCTTTTTTCTTGCATAATCAAGTCCTCAATCGAGGACTCAAATGAAAGTGAGCATGCATTGCAGGTACAAGTCGTCATCTTAATCCTTCGCGATTTAGGCAATCTACAATAGGCCTGAGATGTTAACGACCTTTTCGCACTCGTCGTTCCCGAAGTTGACGTATCGGAGACTCCTTCGGGGTCGGAAGGGTGATGCCCACTTATTTTACAGTTTCGCGTTTGATACGTATCGCTTGCTAAGCTCTAGACGTCGGTCCTGCGTATATCGTGGGTAGCTTGCCGTTCTTCCCTGTAGTAGACAGAGAGCTCGTTTGTTGGAGGCGCCTCCCGTATGCACTTACTTCCCTGTCACTTGATCGCAGGCTTTTGGCCGAATTAACTCGTAGAATACAATATGCATAAACGATAACATACCCACGCACGTGTACTAATACGCCCTCGTAAATACAGGAAGTATGTGCCAGTTCGGCGCAGCAGGAACAGCAAGTGCATCCCTGGATCCTCCAGCGTCTCAGGGAAGCAAAGGTCGCTTTTGGTGCTCCACTAAGCCTCCCTAACCACCACCTGGCAACGCACCAAATTGTCTCGCGACTATCCAACGTGAGGTCGCTCTATGAGGAGATCCGTGAATTATTATTATTATTATTATTATTATTATTATTATTATTATTAATTTGCTACTTGCTCAACAATTATTGATATTATTATTTCACTCCTCATTGTTAAAAAATGCATTTTTTTCATCTACTGATTTATTATTATCAGTACGAGTTTTACAGTGGGATATATCATACAGCTGCTGGTTCGGTTCTGCACCGTACCAACCACATCTCTCGTCCTGTCCGGATTGAATAATTAACGCCAGGTTTTTGGGGAAATTTTTTCTTTGATCGCTAAAGAGCGCTATATACCAGTTATGAAAACCTGGTAACACTTTTCCCAAGTCATACAAAGATTCCATGAAAAATCAACCCGACTAATATTTGATGACATTCATGAAGAAGACAAAATCTTCAAGAAGCAGTCGGACCCACATGAATTTCTGGAGTTTCTTGGATGGCATTCGCATGGATCCAATCATAGCGTTGAACTTGTCAATAATGATTTTGAAGAAGGCATGGTCTTTTCTGTAAAGCTTCTCCAAGTCTATATAGGATGCTAAGGCCTCATCTTCGTCATGGTTTAATATAGGTACACATCTTTTGAGTCGTATCATCTAAATCAGGTCGTTAGTTGTTCAAAGGAATTGAACGAACTCATGTTGACGAAGATTCCAATACCGCCAGCTCTTCTACTGTTTCGCGATGTGGTTATTATCCTATGTCATATACGGCGTTGAACGGGAGGCGTCAAAGGTCATTATACTGATTGAAATATGTCCATAAACCACTAAAATTGACTGCAATGTTTTAGTAGATTCGAAATTGTTTTGGCAGCGTTTTGGTAGGAAACTCATTTGAGATTATTCGACTTTGTACTTATCGGAAGAGTAATATGCGGATACGATGAGTAAGCAGACCATGATTGATTTCCCAGATTGCTGTTCTTATCTTGGGTTTGCACTGGGTTGTTGTAAGGTTATTTCCTTTTTTTTAGCCAATATTTTTATATTTGTGAAGATGTTAGCATGCAAATCAAAGATCTTCTCTTAATCACTGCTTTTTGCGAATTGGGTGCAGTTGAAAGTACAATAAAAGTTGTACAGCCAGCTTACTTGAGCTGGCTACTAGGAAACAATTTTCATATAGTGCAAGGAAAGTGCATGAGAACCTAGAGAATATTCTCCCTCTTCTCATGCACTTTACTTCCACATTTTTTAAATGAACAAATATCGTCTACAGCGTGTTTCTTTGCTCATATTAATTATAATTTTAATCCTTTAATATAGAACTCTCAACTGTCTGTTTTCTTGATATTTTAGCTTAGTGTTAAGAAGATCACTTTTTCAGTTTCCTGTACTTCAGG